GAACGGCGAAACACTGAACGGACATCTTGCCAATTGCGATAACTGGATGAACTTAATACTCAAAGAGGTTGTCCAGACTAGTCCAGAGGGTGATCGGTTCTTTAGGCTGCCGGAAGTCTATATCAGAGGAAACAATGTAGGTTGTCCAAGGCGCAAGTGGTTTTGGCGAGTTCTAATGTGTGTTAGATCAAATATCTACGGATCCCCGAAGAGATTATAGAGATGGTCAAGGAACAACAGCAAAACCAGCCTTCGAACCGCAATCGTGGTGGACACTCTCACCGGGGCGACAGAGGTGATCGGGGTGGTCGTGGTGGACGTGGTCGTGGCCGCGGCCGCGGCCGAGGTGGCAGCTAAAGATATGTCTAGAACGTGATAACAAGTGATGCGAGAGAAAGATAGATACCCCGAGGAGATGATGTAGGTAATTCATGAGGTCCGTTGGGCGGGTTAGTCAAGCATGATCCTGGCGTATCTGGCTCTGTTTTTTTTCAATGGGAAATGTGCCATATGAACCACTTTTTTATTTCCTACCGGATAGCTTCTCTATATAGAATCCAACCAATGAATACTTGGAAAGCCATCCTACTGATCTGGGTTGCGCAGCTATACTGGGCCCCCTTGGTCCATTATCGCATTCAGTCATGGTGATCTATATCACGTGATGATATGGACCTTTTTGACAAGGGAATTTAGATGGGAAGGCCGACGTTTCGGGTTACCCAGAGGGTCGACATGCCACGGCAGACACTTATTGTAGATGGACTTTGGTATTGCCTCTGTCCATCATTCAGCCTCAACGCCTTCAAGCGCCCCGGAATCCCTCTCATAAGGTGTAAACGAGCACCTAAACCCGGTCAATATGCGGCTTTCTTAGCGGGCCCTGTATCAACATCGCGGAAATGTCTGAGCAGTGCTTCTCTTCAAAAGGTTGGTGGAATTGATCCGCCAAAAGAAGATGGGTCTTTGGGAGATGGATATAACGAATCAGTGAACCAGCACCCAACCCCTGATCAATTGGATGTGAACCACAAGCTTGGGCAAGATGCTGGCACATCGCTGAAAGAGGAGATCTCTGGCGCGGAGAATACCCGCAAGCGTCCACCTGGAGTTCCCAAAACGCTTGAACATAAACCGACATCATTTTTGGAGCAAAAGCTTCAAGAGCTCACGACCTCAGCCCCAAGGGTCCTAAGCACGAGCCAGATACTGCGCATTCTGATCAGAGATCGTCATGTACGCCCCGAGGTACGACACTATAGGGCACTATTACGCGCCAATTCGGATGCAGAGCGTGGATCGCCAGAAGTAGTTCGAAAGTTACTAGCAGAGATGGAGGCGAGTGGATTTACGCTGGATTCTGGAACGCTGCACACGGCATTACAGGTACGGCCGCAGCCTACCGTGGTTTTCTTCCCTACACTTTGCGGGATCTTTTGGCTGATAATACTTCTCATTAATAGGCCATCGCAGTTCATCCGGACTATCTACTACGCCAGGAAATAGTGCGTACCCTTCGAGACCGATGGCTTCCGTTGAGCCCGGATGGTTGGCATTATGTGGTAGCTGGCCTTGTGCGAGAACATCAATTCGAGTTGGCCCTGGATCATATTGCGCACATGGAGAGAAAGGACATGCCGGTTGAGGGTTGGTTGCACAGCATGCTCGTCTACTATCTCTGCGAATTTGAAGAGTTTGACGAGGTGGTGCGATTGATGCGTTCACGGGTTGATCAGGGGTATGACATGACGACAGACCTGTGGCTTTACGTACTAGATGTGGCGAGTGCCGCCGTTCACCATGAGACCACACGCTTCGTGTGGGATCAAATGGTTGAACTGAGGTATCTTTATCCATCATACGGAGTCTGCAGTAATGTATTGACAGTGGCGTCCCGTACCGGGGATACTGAGCTTGCTGCGTCGGTCGCTCGCTTTCTGACCGAAGCCGACGTACCCCTTAGTTTAGAGGACTATGAAAAGATCACCGAGGCCCACGTGATCTCTGGAAACCTTTACGCTGGGTTTGAAGTGCTTTGTGAAATGCATAAAGCAAAGATTGCGTTGGAGTCAAGCTCAACTGCCGCCATTCTAACCTACATGATACAATCAAGAACCAATCCACGAGAGGCGTGGTCTCTGCTGAAGAAACTCAAAGCTTTGAAATATGAAATTCCCCTTCGATGCGCTCTAGTAGTGCTCGAGATGTGCGAGCACGAAGCCATTAATGATCCTTTCGTGGTGGACGATGGGCTTGCGCTTTACAAGCAACTCTATGCGTTGTGCTCGGAGAAGGCGGATGTCTCAGTTTACAACTCGCTTATTAGCATGTGCCGCCGGGCTAAAAATACCGACGCCGGTATGTTTGTTGTGAAGGAAATGGCCACACTGGGTGTGGTACCGAACGCCACGACATTTGAACATCTCATCATCATGTGTTTAGATGCTGGTAACTTTGAATCGGCATATATGTACTTCCAGGATCTGCTGGCACGAGACGCATCCCCCAGCGAAGAGGCGCGAGCTGAGATCCGGGATCTCTGTACCGGTTCGAGCGACCAGTATGCTGTACAACTGAGGTATCACCCGCAGATCAGGGATGCGTTAGTGGGCAGACAAGCGGATAACTTTGATCCCACACAAGTCCGCGCAGGTCTCATCAAGAAGGTGCCGTCTGATTCACCCCCGGAATACGCCAATCGTTTCAGACAGGGGCCGCGGAAGACCATAACCAAAGAGGAGCGACGGGCTGAAAGCAAAGAGAAACGGAAACAGAAAAGAAGACGACTAGCTATTGCAAGGGCCCGAGAGGAAGAAGGATGGGAAGATTACGTGCCCGGCGGACTAATTCCTGAGGATCAGGTTACGGCCGATGCAAATTCGCCATCCAGTTGAACTGGGTGTCGTTACCTTGTACAATATTTTTTCTGCCATTGTAGTTTAGTGTATATATATTAGCGGTAGTTTTGAGGTACCAAAACCACCCATGATGGATGTGACCGATCTGAGATTTGACGTCAATCACCACCTGACGTTGAAGCAGTCGCAGGGCCAACGTCCACTGAGAGCATTGACAACGACATGATGCAGGAAAAATCAAACGCTGCAAAGTAACAGTACCACATCTCCATGCATGTACCCTCGAGAAGCACACGGGGAATGTTTCTCATCCCATCCAACCGAAAGAGTTTAGACTGAGACCCCCAATGCAACACCAAGCCAACCCTCAAACCACCGTCGGGTTTATTTTATCTCGGAGCCAAGAGTCTGATGTTTGGGGTCCAAGTTAGTCGGTCCCACTGGGACAAGTCCAGGGTTGAACTATGGTTCGAACGGTTCCAGTTCCGTTCCATGCGTTCCGTGATTTGCTATCTCCGTACAATACGGATACGATGAAATTCATCGGTGGTTCTATAAATAATTGACAATTACTACAGCACGGAGGTATCGATATTGCGATCGTCCACCGAAAGATGGCTGACACACTGCCTCAATGCTTGTATCACGGGGGACAGCCATATACAGATTTACTATAGGGCTGGGGCACAAGATCGATACACAGTATAGTATTACGGGTATATTGATATTTAATATCTAGCCAGCCACGCGGTACCTGCCATCTCACCCCTAGCTTGAACGCGGTTACACTCATGACGAAGGGATGATGCCGATGCCGCTACGAACATCCTCGACTTTGCCTCTCATGAGATGGAGGTTTCAGGTTTCTCCGTCCGGAGGAGTCCGGCAAAATCTTTGCACTGAATTTAGTGATCGACAGGATGCTAGTTTGGTGGTTCACTTTGGTCGAAGTGCTCCACAGCCAGTCGGGGGTCGAATGGCTCCTGCGCCCGACCTCCATTCATTCAATGGTACTACTATAAAGCACGGGGACCCTCGGATATGGTAGATGGCTTTTGACCCTGCATTCACGACCTGAACATTTACTTTCCCCTACAATCAGTTGTTTAATCTCTATATAAACACATCTGTCGCCCTTTTGATCTCTACCTCCAAAAGTCTATTTGCAACCCTCATACTATATATCCTCTTCACTCGCAACCAACTTACCTACTGTACATCCACCATGCAGCTCTCTTCGGTCTTCACGGTCGCCCTTTCTGCTCTCAACCTTGCCTCTGCTTTACCTCTCCATCGCCTCGACACCAGTCCAGCTCTGTCCTGGCACGTCTCCAACTTCAACACTGGCTGCTCCCCAGGCGGCTGCGTGTATAACTTCAATATTACTGGCGTCGCAAGCCAGAACACTCCCGGATTCCAAACCCATTGCTCGGGTACAAATGTCCAAGATGATTACGCCTTCTGTGATGACAAGCTCGTGAAGGCGAAGGTGGTGTCTCAACTATACCCCGTGTGGACGGTCCATGTACAACACGCTTGGTTCCAAGGCGAGGCCGAGTTCTATGCTCTTGGCCATGCCAACGTCACATCTACTCAAAAGAACTTCACTATCCCTGTGACTGAGGTCTATGGAGTCGCATGAATCCGGAATTCATGGGGGGGGTCAGTCCTGACTGGGCTGTGAGAAGACTCGAAAAAGGGGGGGACGATCATCATGCCGATCCGCTATGGTTGACAGGATTCGCGACCACGAGAATGACAGGACTGAAAACGTCCACAATGAAAATGCTACACCAACAAGATAAGAAGGAAAAAGGAACAAAGAGAAGGAGCCCCTGGGGTGAAAGCGACATGAAACTTCTTTGTATCATACATATGACTCGGAGGACATATGAGAGGATTTTATTATAATGTTAATGTCTGGTCTTTAATGGCGGTCACTCATTTATGACATGGTCTATGATGAATAGTTAATTGACACTCGTTTTGCACGCAAAAGCATACCAGACCCGATGGCGAGTCAGCTGGAGGGTTATCTGATTAAGATAAAGATTAAGGCTTGTTTACTTCCCTGGAATTCGGTGGCTTCCCGTGGCAGTGACATCATATCCCGTCTACAAGTAAATCGCCTCTCATGCTTCTAAAGGACTGCAGCGGTCATCATTCCAACTGCCCTTGATATTCCAACGTTCCGCAAGGGTAGGAAAGTCGAAATAATTCTCTAATTATCTGTACCTATTAGGTCCAGTGTTTCCCCCAGAGAACGCCTCGAAGCTTATCGGCAGTAGTTTGGAGTCTTGGCACATTCCATCGAGGCGGGTCATTGCGAATGGTCACGAACTGATCGGTCAACAATTACCTCCACACCTTTTTCGGGTCCTGCAGTTTAGCGTGAGGAACTACATTCACTGAGACAGGCCCATAGACCTTGCAGACGCGCCTGCATACTCAAAACCAATGGTATGATCACCTCGCCAGGACAAAGCTCCCCGTGCCCACTGCCGAGACTGACCTTTGGCGCTTGGCTTCTTGTCCAACGCAGGCCTCGATCCTACGACAAATCGTCGCTGGTCCTAGATTACAGCACCCAGAAGCAGGTCTAGATCTATGCTATGTCACCGACAATCGTGAGTTTTCTATAGTCTTCCCGATAGCACGCTATTCGCTGTGGCTAACGCTTTCTCCTTTTCTTCGCTCCCATGCAGTGATTGCAACGTCTGGCCCGTCCCCTAGCTACCCGAAACGCGCCTACAGAAACCCGCTCGATGATCTAGTGAAATACCTTGACTCCAAACATGGCGAGGACTGGTGTGTCTTTGAGTTCCGGGCTGAGGGGACAGGGTACCCCGATAAGGCTGTCTATGGACGGATACATCACTACCCATTCCCGGATCACCATCCCCCGCCATTTGCGCTTATTCCCTCACTCATGGGCTCTATGTATAACTGGCTCCATGGCAAGGATTCTCAGGCGGAGGCACAGGAGGAACGGAAGAGAGTTGCGGTGGTCCACTGCAAGGCTGGTAAGGGACGGAGTGGAACGGTCGCGTGTAGCTATTTGATGGCACATGAAGGATGGAAGATGGAGGATGCTTTGCAACGGTTTACCGAACGGAGAATGCGGTCTGGGTTCGGCCCTGGGGTGAGCATCCCGAGCCAGCTGCGCTGGGTCGGGTATGTTGATCGCTGGGTGAACCAAATGGGCAAGACGTACATCGAACGACCGGTGGAGATTCTCGAGCTGCACGTGTGGGGTCTGCGGGATGGTGTCAAAGTTGCAGTGGAAGGCTTCGTCGATGAAGGCAAGAAGATCCAAAACTTTCACCTATTCAAACGCAGTGAACGCATCGTTGTGGACGATGGAAGGGCGAAGACAAATTCCTCACAGAAGACGGACAAAAAGAAAGTCAACGGCCAAAAGAATGGTATCAAAAAGGCATTCTCATCTGTAGCAGATTCATCGAGTTCATCCAGCTCGGACTCATCCGATGAGGACTCAACTACCCAGAAGGGCACGTCGGCCGTCCTCTTCCGGCCGAGCAAGCCGCTCATCCTACCAACCTCCGATATAAATATTGATTTTGAACGAAGAAGCAAAGCTTACAAAGATTGGGCAATGGTGACCTCCATCGCACATGTGTGGTTCAACGCTTACTTCGAAGGCGGCGACAAGCAAGATTCAGGCGTCTTCGAAGCAGAGTGGGACACGCTAGATGGGATCAAAGGCACCTCCAGAAAAGGAGTTAGGGCTCTCGACCGGCTCAAAGTAGTATGGAGATACCCACCTTCGGAACCCGAAACAAAGAACTCGGAGACGGCGCCCACGCCGGGCCAAATCATCACCGAGCCCAAACCCGGTGAACCCATGCTCGAAAGCCATGCTGCTGACTGGCGAGGCCAAGACCCGGGGGAGCAAAAAGCTGCACGAGATCAGGAGAATATTCCGACGCGGGCTCCCGATGTCCCAGAGCACCCAAAAGAAAGCAAGGAGGATGCAAACCCGATCCTCGCAGGCCTCAGCACTGCCACCAGCAATGCTGCCGCCGTCGCTACAACTTCGGTGCAGATGCTAAGCAAGGAGCTAGGACTGAGAAGGCAGACGGACGAGAGCAAAGACGTCAGTCTCGCCGAAAGTGAAGACAATGAGTCGGTGCTAGGTCACCGGAAGCAGGAAGGCGATGAAGAGAAAAGACAAGCCCTGAACAGCGCAGAAAGTGAAGACTTCCAAGGCGTACAATCTTACTTTGGAAATGGTGATAAAGACGACTCTACAAGCTCGCCGAAGACTACTAGAGCTTCGTGATATACCCGTCCTTTGGCATGTAGACAGCATGTGATCTGGATGATATACGAATCTCCTTCTACTCTTTTGTTCTTTTCCCTCTTTTGTTTTGTTGAATCTGGTTGTAACTGGTTTCATGGCAAGTGCCTTGGGAGATATTTATTTCGGGCCATATGCTCGTGTACATACAACATACCCATACAAAAATCGTTATTATGATTAATACTAGAAGGCGCAAAGTTGTGACAAATTCCACAAGAATTAGATATATACACAACCATTATTCTAACGCTACTTTAATTGGAAGTAAAGGTCCGGTTAAGGACATGATTACCTAGCGCTCAGAGATCTCAAAGAGGCACAAACCCCTCCATACGTCGCCGGGCCTCTTCCTCCTCCCGTCGTAGTCGGTCAGACTTCTTGCGCTCATAAACGGCCCGGACGACGCGCTTGACTTGTTCCTCGCCTTGAGAGAAGTTTGCTTTGGCAAGTCCAACGACGGAGTCGATTTGCTCAGGGCTGTACACAAAATTCCAGGTGGAGAGGAAATCGTCAACGTCCGGATCAATGGAGCCAGGATGCGGTGTCAGCGGTTTCGCTGGGTCGGTAACCTTCGTGGAGGACTTTGTCTCCCTCTGTTGCGCGGGGGCTGGGGACTTTTTCAGCGACGAGCTGGGAGGCAGTTCCGGGGCGTCTGGGTTCGGGATGAGAGGGAAATACACGACCGCAATACCTGCATCAGGGCGCATGAGGTGGAAATCAGACTCTTCGTGATCCTTATTCCTAGGTTGGAAAAGACGCTTTGATGGCGGTGGTTCTTCATCGGAGACTCTCTCTTGTGTGGTGCCGACCCAAACATTGCAGTAATCTAGATCGGTCTCTCCGTTATTAGGGTTCTGTCTCGGGTCCGTAGATGGGGTTTGTCCATTGCTCGTAGTGTTTCTGTCGTTGTCTTGAGCTTCCCTGATCTTTGAGTTGAGTTCTGCTTCGGAAATGTTTTGTGCTTCTCGGAGTTTTTCCTCTGCTTCCTTCAGCTTGGTATCCGCTTTTGGCCAGCCGGCACCTAATGGCCAGCCCTTGACGCCTCGTTGTCGTGCGTACCCGTCGACAACTGAAAGCCAGTTCTCTTGTTTTATGTCGGCTGAAGCGTCGAATGCAAGGATGATATCTACGTCTCTGCCGGGACGTAGTAGTGGATATATGGGTAGGTTGTTGCTCATTCCCGCATCCATTAGCCGCAGATGCGAGCTTCGGAAGATTGACTCAGGACAAGAAGGTGGCAAGACATCCTTCATACCTAGCACATAGTTCGGTATAGTGGCAGGGTCGATGGGATGAACTCGGACCAGATCTTTATTTTTCCCTTGGATTAAAGAGTCTATGCCTGAAAATCCAGCAATGCCTCGTACCAGTGGTCGTATCTCCTTGTAGTAATGAGATAAGGTCGCACAGAAAGCGCTCCCCCAAACTCCCATGAGGCCTGGAACACGTAGTTCAGGGATCGGGTACTGTCCCTCAGGAATAGAATTGACTCCTCCATTAAAATGCCTTCCCAAAGCCCATGTGGGTATGCCCGCCCCGAGCTCCTCGCAGAAGAATTCATAAGGTGTGAACTCAAACCACTGGAACCACGATTCATCCCGAGCCTCCTTTATCAATGTCTCAGGTGTCGGCTGGTTGTGGGTATGGCCTTCTTCAAGGCTCTCAAGGACTGGGATCTCGTGTCGAACGGCAGTGTAGATAGGAAGTGGGTGAAGCCCATCAGCGAGGTTGTATCTCTGATTGGATAATTTCAGGTCTCGATCTGAGACTCCAAGCTCTCCTTTGGGTACCAGCAATCTCGCAGCTAACAACATCCCATATATATCTACCAGTCCGAAATCTGCTCCAGGGTCGCCTTTTAACTTCTCAACTAACCCGCTAAGAAGATATTTATTAGTAGGGGCAGTTGTCAATGCATCGAGAGCCTTCGGCGGGAAAGCTATATGTACGCCCAGCCTATGCTTGAGATGGTCCATGAGTTTCTGGAAATTGCGCCCCGTAATAGATGAGTGATACAGTGTCTGTAGCCAGCAACTGCCACTGACGCCAGCAGTATACGTCACACAGTCCCACAAGCCGGCTTCTTGTGTGGCCAGGTATGACCCAGTCCCAGCGACAAGCGCTCGCAGCCCACCTCCTGAACCGCACATAGCAATGATAGGGACGTCGTCTGGGTGGATATCCTCTGCAGGGATTCCCAAGTACGATGAAAGTGCTTTCACCCCATGCTCCCGCCTCTTCTGCCTGAACTCCAGTTCCTCACGGCATAGATCGCTTCCCACGCGGACTCTTGCATCTTGTAATATTTCCGGATTGATATCCGGGTCGTGAGCCTCCTTCCAGATATCATCCGCAAGGGAGCCGGGGGCCATTGAAAGCTCACGCTGGAGCTTTTGCACTGTCGCTGGAAGCAATCGGGTCCAGTCTGGAATGATATAGTTCTTAAGATTGTCTATTTCGATCCAATCGGTTGAGCCCACCGTCTGCTTTACCCCATCGAACTTATGTAGGATATTAGTCCATATTGAGTTCGGGTCGCCATGATCGGAGCCGTGTTCGGAACTGTGTTCGGAGCTCCAGTCCCAGGTGCTCTTTTGCGGGCTAGCAGATGATGACTTTGCGGACCGGTCGTCTACATGATAGGTCGTAGAGGTGGAAAACCGAGCCGTTTGATCGGTCTGTAGTATTGGGTGTTTGTAGTAACGGGTCTGACCACTAGTGGTGTATAGTGCCCCACTGCCCAAAGCTATCAGGACAGCTGGAGGGACAGTCCAACGAAGACGCAATGCCTTTGCAGCACCCATGTTGTGACAGGTACCGCGCAGGAGAGGAGAGGTACAGGTACAGGGCAGCATGCAAGCTTTAAAGCCATGGCGAGTGGGCCAGACCACGGCGATCCCTTGCGTTGCACTTCGACTTTACCCGACTTGCAGGAAAGGTGACATCATATCACGTGCATTCCTCGGCGCAATAGACGGACCGGAGACATGCCTCTTTGGGGCTAGCGGTGGTAGCGGAGTGTGAAAAGCAACCTATGAATTGCCGCTGTTGGTCTGGGGAGTAACAAAGCTCATCAACTTAATTAATTATGCTCGCTCCATGAGGCCAGGTGCCTCATCGGCCAGCTGTTCAGTTCCTTGGAATCGCCCTTACTTTAGAATACCACTTTGGCTTCGACCAGAAAGACATGACGTCTTTTGGATAGAAGCGCGCTAGTGAAATTGTCATATTTTCGAGTTTCTTGATTGTTTCATATGATTGTGGGACCTGCCGCTCCAGCACTCCCTGACCATGGTAGCCCCAAGGAACACTGCTTACGCAGAGGAGAGCGCAGAGGTGGAGGTTCTATATGCCAATCTTGAGAAGCTTAAAGTTCTTACCAAGAAAATCCAAGGTTCCCTTGTTCGCCTTGAGACTGGAGGGAACGTCGTGAAACATGCCATTGGGCCCATCTACAGTAATACCCAATCGCTTCAAATCACCAACCATAACATTGATAAGGTCAACGACGCTATTGACCGTCTGCGCCAACCTCTCGACGCAAAGAGTCGGGAGGAAGGCATCATCCGTTCTGGGTAAGTAAATGTTTTGTGTTCTTAAAGTAAACAACCTAGCTGACCCAGTGTCAGGCCGCAAAACGTTGAGTTGTCGCAATATCTTGCAGCAATAAAACGTGTAGAAAAGGCCCTCGTCGACCTAAACTCTACAAACTTGAGATCGAACCAGAAAGCTATTTCTGACTTCAATTCTTTGCTGAGTACCGGGACTGCTCGACTTCAGGACTTGCTACGAAGCAAGCTAAGCGACGACGTCAGTCCTATTGAGCCTTTGCATTATTTAACGAAAGGTGTGTTTCAACATTATGCGTGGATTCCTTCGACCAGTAATACTAATATCTTCATATAGAACTGCCGTTTCCTTCGATTCCGGAAGAAACTGTTACCGAGTTGGGACCTATATGTGCCGCAATCAACTCCGCAGCAATCCACGGCCCACAACATGGCGATGGCGGAAATCCTGCCCTTAAAATATATGCTGCTGTCCGGGCACCGTATATTACCTCAAGCCTGCAAAATCTTGCCATTGCATCGCTGAATACTGTTAAGAGGCGAGCTGATGATGGCCCATACAAACAAGGCACCAATGGAATTGGCATTTATTCGAATGCTTTGGAGAACTTCATATACGCTGAGCACGATATCATCTCAAGAATCTTTACTGGGGATCAGCGGGGGTTGGCTCTACAAGCGACTTGTCAGTCAGCTCTGGCTGAATTTTCGAAGACCCTGCGTGAGCTCAATCAATATATCAAGGCGAATCTCATGACAGACTGCTTTTTAGCCTTTGAGATCATTGAGATTGTTACAGCGTTGTCTTATCGTGTTGATTCAAAAACAGGGGAGCTCAAGAGCATGTTCATTGAGGCTCTTAGGCCTATCCGCGAAACCGCAAAGTCATCCCTCTCAGAATTGCTCGAAGAGACGAAACGAAAAGCTGCATCTATCCAGGTTCTTCCACCAGATGGCGGTTCTGTGCCTCTTGTCAACGAAGTCATGAGTTCTTTGGTCACGTTGACGGCTTATTCCGGACCGCTGGCATCTATTTTAACTTCCTTAGGAGATGGAAACTGGCGCTCTACTTCTAATACGTCGGGTGCTGCTCCTTTAGATGTCAGCCCAGATAGTTCAACACTTCTATCCCACTTCATTCTCGACATGATTGAAGCTCTTATGATTGCCCTGGAGTCGCGGGGCCGCGCATTCCATCGCACGAAAGCTGTCCAGGGCGTCTTCCTCTCGAATGTGTTTTGTAACGTTGACCGCGCTATTCGCTCGAATGCCGAACTAGCACGATACCTCGGCTCTCCCGACAGTATCGCACGGATAGATACCTTTCGCAAGCGCGCCACTTCGACCTATTTGGATTCTTGGAAGGAGACTTCGCAGTATCTGCTTGATGTGCAATACACATCTCGGGGTGCCGGTGCGTCAACTAGGCCAACGTCTGGAGGCATTGTTGATTCGAGCGCCATAGTCAAATCTCTTTCATCCAAAGATAAAGACGCAATTAAGGATAAGTTCAAGTCGTTCAATACAAGTTTCGATGATCTGGTTTCTCGTCACAAGGCTCTGTATATGGAGCGAGAAGTGCGAGGTGTCCTGTCTCGTGAGGTGCAGACTGTCCTGGAGCCCTTGTATGCGCGTTTCTGGGACCGCTACCATGAAATCGATAAAGGAAGAGGCAAGTACGTCAAGTATGATAAGGGGAGCCTTTCTGCGCAGCTAGCAGCTTTGGGATAAGTATTCTTGGGTTAAGTCCACGTCCTGATACTTAGCATTTTGTTGGAGGACGATGTGATGATAGCTTTGAATGTGCAGCGCTGCGTTTCAAAGTGTTGTTAATATGTTTATACGTGATTATATCTAGGATTCCGAGAGAGTTCTACTATTTTTTTAATGCTATAATTCTTGAATTACAGATACAGAGTATCCGCTTATCTCTTTATCCACAAATATTATCAAATATCATGTGATGATAGCCCCTCCGGATTTAACTCATAACGTGACTGATAAGCGGAGCCCCGCTAAGTCTGGCCACCGCAAGCAAAATTTCGGCCGATCACGCACACATCCTACCCCCAAACCTCCTTCTACTTCTCTTCCTGCCTTTCAATTCCTTGTGGAAGTGCTTCAATTTCATTTCTGGCAGGATGTCCTCAAGCAACGATGTTTACCAGACCCCTCTCAACTCGCGTTATGCGAGTAAGTGCCCCGCAATATGCTCCCACATCAGCGGCTTGTACTAATCCCGCGGGGTTTGTAGGCGATGAGATGAAATACCTTTTCTCTCCAAGAAACCGTTTCTCTACCTGGAGAAAGCTGTGGCTGTGGCTTGCTGAGTCTGAGAAAGGTATAATCTTGCATAGTCCAGACGCCAGATGATGCTTCCCCCCTAACCCGTGGTAGAACTCGGCTTGTCTATCTCCGATGAGGCCATTGAGCAGATGAAGGCCCACCTTACCATTCAGGATGAAGAGTTCAAGGTTGCTGCCGAGGAGGAAAAGCGCCGCAGACACGATGTCATGGCTCACGTCCATGCTTACGGTCAGGTCGCACCCGCCGCTGCTGGTATCATTCACTGGGGTGCCACTTCGTGCTACTGCACGGACAATGCGGATCTGATCTTCCTCCGTGACGGTCTCGATATCCTCATTCCCAAGCTTGCTGTCGTTATTGACAAGCTGTCCGCGTTCGCTCAGCAGTACAAGGACTTGCCTTGCCTTGGCTTCACTCACGGCCAGCCTGCTCAGCTTGTTACTGTCGGAAAGAGAGCCTGCCTCTGGATTCAGGACCTGCTCATGGACCTGAGGAACTTGGAGAGGGCTCGTGATGACTTGCGCTTCCGTGGTGTCAAAGGTACCACCGGTACTCAGGCTTCTTTCCTCCAGATCTTCGACGGAGACCACTCCAAGGTAGAACAGCTGGACGAGCTTGTTACCCAGAAGGCCGGCTTCGATTCCGCATTCATCATTTCCAGTCAGACCTACTCCCGGAAGATCGACGTTGATGTTGGCAACGCCCTGGGCTCTTTCGGATCCACCTGCGAGCGCATCGGTATCGACATCCGCCATTTGGCCATGCTTAAGGAGGTTGAGGAGCCTTTCGAAAAGGACCAGATCGGCAGCAGTGCCATGGTTAGTGGATTATACGGTTACAAGAAGATCTCTTTCATCTGACCGAATTATAGGCTTACAAGCGTAACCCCATGCGTTCTGAGCGCCTGTGCTCGCTCGGAAGACACCTCCAGAACCTCCCCAAGAATGCGTTGGACACCTACTCCGCGCAGTGGTTCGAGCGTTCTCTGGTAAGACAATACTCCTTTCTCCGAAGAAGTTCTCACTAACAATCACCAGGACGACAGCGCCATCCGTCGTATCAGCATTCCTGAGCTCTATCTCTCTGCCGATGCTTGTCTCATTCTCCTGAGTAAGTGAAGGCCAAAGACTCTCTCGAGACAATAACTAACTCCTTCAAGACAACGTTACCTCCGGCTTCGTTGTCTACCCTGAAGTTATCAAGCGTCGTGTTAATGACGAGCTCCCCTTCATGGCCACGTAAGTCCCCCAGTGCCCTCTTAAATACAAGATGCCATATGCTAACCATCTCACTAGTGAAAACGTAAGCAATCCATGATCACATATACTAAACACACCAACATACTAATAAACCAATCTAGGTCATCATGGCTTGCGTCAAGAAGGGTCTCTCCCGCCAGGACGCCCACGAGGAGATCCGTAAGTGACACTCATGAACAACACTGCGCCCCCTCATTCCCTCTAACAAATCCCATCACAGGTGTCCTCTCCCACCAGGCGGCAGACAATGTCAAGAAGCACGGAAAGGACAACGACCTGCTCGAGCGCATCCGCCGCACCGCATTCTTCAACCCCATCCTGGGCGAACTCGACTCCCTCCTCAACCCCAGCACCTTCGTCGGCCGTGCCCCCCAGCAAGTCGAGAAGTTCACCTCCACTGAGGTCAAGAAGGCCCTCGAGCCATATGCCTCTGCCCTTGCCAAGGCTGAGACCTCTACGCTCAGCGTTTAAGGTTACAGGCATGCATACATATAAAACATACATACATGGCTTTTCCTCAAAGCACGGGCCAGACTCCAAGGAGGAGAATGATACCTACTAAACAGTGCACCCCCTTACTGTGAAGTATGGAGACAATGTGACCAGCATGAGAGGAGGTTTATTTGTCTCATGCAAACACATGCGAAAAACCCATAGAGTTAACCCACATTGCGCAAAAGTTTTCATTTCTCCAAAGGGAACACCAAATCATGTATATAGTAATCGATGACTGAGACGTTTATTGCACTCTTCTTCTGTTTCATGGCGCATTACCTTCTGTCTAGGTATCTCCAGTACTTGTAATATAATACACCGGGTCAGGCCTTGAGTTCATTTGCGGTTGCACTAAGTGGGATTATGGATCCGTGTGTGTTAAATTAGGGCTATCGAACGGCCATCACCACTACACAAAAGTGCCCAACCCACTGATAGGAAGCAAAGATCCACTCAGTGTGTTACCTCCGAGGTAAAGCATATCACAGTCTATTCACACTTTGACCCCGCCGTCCCACTTTCGAAATGAGGGGTACTCGTAAAACGAAGCAAGGGAAAGTAAAGGAAAAAGGCACGGAAGGAAATGTGAGTTGGTTGTATTACAAATACAAGATATGATGTGTAAGATACAAATTGGTAATATACATGGAGAGAAGGAAAATCAGAAAGGGAAATCGCAGTCGAAACAACCATTGGTGTCTTAATATGATATGCGAGGTTTCAAATATGAAAGTGTGGGTCTGGGTCCTTCTTTCTAGCTTTTTCTCTGTTCGAACTTATTTGAAAATACATGTTGGGAATCAAAAGAGACAGGATACGTAGCGCTGGGAAGGAACAGGCATGCAGAAATCAAGTTGTCGTTAAATGCGTCAATCTCGTGTAAGGAAAAATCTATGCAAACTATGGAAATGGTTTAGCAAGATGACCAGAAGGAGAAAGAGAAGGGTGGAAAAAGCAGGGAAGTGCACCCGTAGAGGGAGTGGTATTGCATAACTCACCACGCCATATATAGGATGGAACCCAGAAATCATGTGTCCTTGACATGTCATCAAGCATGCCGTATCACTATGACACTATGATCCAGTTCCGTTTAGAGCATCGACAACCAGTTGATGACCTAAGAAGAGTAGTCATGTTAAGATAGGCACTTGCTTCAGTGAAAGGAAACTTACCATCATTGCCTGAATCAGTGCCTCCTTCTCACCATAGTGCATGCCATCCCAGCTATATGCTTGTAGCGTTGCATTGTACATCCCCAACGTTTCCATACCTCTGGCTCGTGCCGCCTCAGCTGCATCCAGCGTGTATTGCCAACTACTCGCGTGAATGTTGCTACCAGAATGCTTTTGGTGGCCCGGTGCAGTTGGTCCTATCCAGAGGAAAGGCATATCACGTTTACTAGATTGTGCCAATACTAGCCATTCGTCCATGCTGTTTCCAGCGATCTCGAGTGAATAGGAAGTGGAAAGAGAAAGACTCTGGATCACAGGAACAGGCTTTCCCTGACTATCTGCTCGGTTGATGAGCTGTCGGAATCTCTCATGGGCGCTCTTCGAAGCAGGTGAGCTCGTTGCTGTCACGAAAGAGTGGGCAATAGCTGCAAGGTAGACGGGGTCAGCATTTGGGGCAGACCAAAACCTGGAATGGCCATCAAGGGGGTGTATGCTCACAGTATGAACAGGCATTTGGGCTTGAAAGTATTTTGCCGTCGTTTTGCGTCTCCACCTGCTCGCTAGAGGTAATTCTCAGCGGTAGACAGGAGGCACTGGTGAACTGTGAGCCGCATCTGCATTTCTTAATCTGCTCCTTGGTCAGGCCCGACTCTCTCAGGGCACCAGTTGCTAGGTCCCCTCGAAGAAGGATATTAAACCCGGCGTAGATATCGGCGAGAGATTCATCACCAATGAAAACCAGAGCGCCAAATTTTTGCAGAATTTCACAGATTTCAGCGTTACTGTACCAGCGATAGAAGCAGCCTGAATAGCCAGAGTTAGTCGGATTCCTGACGTCAAGGAAGGACAAGGGGGTATAAGGAAAGAGCTACTGTGGCTGACCGCTGGTTTGTGGCATTAGCAAACCACAATCAGCATTTCGCTCACCTTGGGAGATGTATGCCTCGTCAAACCCATGTCTGCCGCCATTACTCATTGCACTGAGCAGCGAATCTCGAGTTTGGCAGTACGAATGGCTCAGAGACCCCTGTCCCTCCGTTTTAGGGGGTTCGTAGAGAGCCGAAGATGAGATGCCACACTCCTGGTATCCTACATACCGCCCCAGAAGACTGCCAGCAAGGTCTGTCAGTTCGATCCTTTATCGGAGCTCTAACACTTTCAGGATCTCACGGGTATCAAACTCACTCCTGGGAGGTGTCGGTGACGATCACACTGGGCTGGGTAGAGGTGAAGGGGAGAAAGAAAATATCACGGATGAGCCAGACAATATAGAAGACCCCGAGGACCCAGAGGGATGCCATCAACTTATAAGTAGAGGATCGCCAGGTGACTCTCCGGACCAACCTGCGTCCATTGGGGCCTTCGATTGGACCACGCCGCCGTGGCTGGTTACCCTGCTGCATACTTGTAAATTGATATGCAAAAGCCTCGTTCGCCGACGACGAAGCCATTGGTTCACTATGGGATGTACGGCGACGAGACATAGCCGGCATGTTGACATGCACGCGCAGTTCTGGAAGGGGGGAAGAAGGGTCGTGCAGAAGTATGAGTTAGAAAACGATGCAATCTTAGAGATGATGCATCTGTTCAGAAGTAGGGCTTCTTTAGTGGCAAAAATTTAGAAATACACAAGGGAAGTGAAAAGGAAAGGAACCGAGGCGAAGGGAGTTGGGGCCAAAGCAGAGGAGGGGTGTAAATCGTTGTCGTGAATCGTTAGACGTGAGAGGAAGACGCTGGGGGAGGGGCACTTGGTGGAAAGTATTCAATAAGGAAGTCGTGCGGTTCAGTCACTGTCCTCTGGTATTTCCCAATTGGGAACTTTCGTCTTCAAATCGTCCTTTTTTTCACTTCTCTGTTTATTTCAACCTCCTTTCCACTTCCTTCTCCCAGATCTGCGACTCTAAGTAGAAAGTTTTGGTCCTTGTTCTTGACTGTAAGCAGGTCCCCCCTATTTAATCCTCACGTTTTCAATGACCCTAGGAGATTAACGAAGCTGAACCGTTGATTATAATCCCCCAGCCACGCCACGATAATACGGAACGATACACAAATCCACACAGTTAAAAGGAACGGAGAAAAAAAAAAAAGACTAACAGAAAAACAAAAAAAAGAAAGGGTGAAAAAAACGGCGAGAGGGGCCGTGGTTCAGGAAGAGAGCCAGTGACGGGTAGAAAAATGGCATACAGCCAGCATGAGGGCGAAAAAGGTAATCTCATGGAGTGTTGCGGATCCCTTATTTTTTTTTTTTTCTTGCCTCATCTCTCTGTCAAATATATTTTTTTATTTTATTTATTTTATTTTTTATTTTTTTAGTATTATTACTTCCAAACTATCGGTTGGCCCTTAAATTATTACATTAGTGATTACACTCCAACCGAGAAAATTAAACGCAACCCAATTTAAAATCTTAAACTACGGAGTAGAGAACAAAATGGGTAAAATAAAGAAGAGTAAAAAATTGGTGGGAAAGAAAAATACCCAGGGAAAGAAAAGAACACGAATACAAACCCCCAGTTTTTCAATGGGGATTGCCAGCAACGTTTGCATCATCATTGATTCATTCATTCATTCACCGTTTTTCGATGACAATCCACAAGGCGAGACACAACTTAATCGGTACTAATACAAAGAAAGGAAAAAGAAAACATTCAAATTCAGAAGTACAAGTTAACTTTGATCAACCAATTCTTTTTTTTAAAAAAAAATTTTTAGTGGGCCATTGATATAACAAAGGTGGTATAATGACCTATATCTCAATAGATTTGTAAACTTTTCCTTTTTTTTTTTTGTTTTTGGGTTTAACCGGTACAATCCAGACAACTCATTCATTTCCGAACCACATGTTAACGACAACACTACTAGTAACAGCGAACCTTCCCTAAGTACCTCGTTCCGATTCTGGCAAATGGGCAGTGCTGCCCTAAGCGGGTTGCCGGCGGTGATCGTCGTGGTGCGACAAACTCCACCAAAGAATCGTGCCCTCGAGCGTGTTCTTGACAGGCGCCCACTAAGGCCAACTAGGGCTTAGCAGCTTGCGTTACCAGCTGTTCTCCACAGCTTCAAATTACAGTTCCTCCGTCCTGTGTGCTTGACTGCGGATTCTTCCTATTGGCCGGCCAGCTTGCATCTCTCCTTAAGACTCCATTTGGGGAAGAACACCGCAACTGATCTGACAGGTCGGAATTACAGACTCTGACGCTGTCTTTGCGCAATCCCCCCGTCGCGTGGAAAACCATTCGCTAAACCCCTGATTCAAAGTTGCCGCATCGAAGAAAGAATGGAAGCCATCTAGATCGTGGAAGCGGTGTGGAATATGATCTGCTCACCATGATGCTATCGTCGGTTGATATCTCACAAAAAGGGGAGACAAGGCTACGAATAAGAGAACTCCAAGTCTCCATTCAATTTCATCAATGATGACATTGCGATCTATACCATCAGTATGGCAATCGCCATGGAGTTCTCACCCCTCGGACCTTCTACTATTATTACTACATCCAAAGTACGGAATATATTCGTAGCTCTTAATACTACCGCCTTCGTCAAATGAAGAATGTCAACGTAATTCCGTGTAATGTACTCCGTGGTGTAGTCTCTTACAGAGCAACGCTTCCAATATACTACTGACACACTACCCTTCCTTCAACTGAGGCCTGTCACTTCCAAATATAGTAATATCTTTTTTACAGGCTAATCACTCCATGGCAAGAAGTATGAGGCTCCGTTTTGGTAAGGTGTCGTGGAAGATATGAGAAATTCAATTACGTAGAGAGAAACAATGTTCAGTCCAAGTTCACTCTTCTTTTTTGTTAGAGCAGAAATATCTAAGTGAAACAGAGTTCTAGTTCCATTATATTGTGACAAGCACCAGGCATATAATACAAAGAGAGGTGGTTGAAGAGATGCGCCAGAGATCGGTATCTGGATCGGCTTCCGAGAAGGATAAAAAAAATAAAAATAAAAATACAAATAAAAATAAAAACTAAAACAAAAAAAAAAAAATCCCCAGCCTTAGTATTAATAAACTAGGATGCTATATAATAGTAGGTTCTTTTACAATAGACCAGGTGTTTGGGCGGCGTTGGGCTTCTAGAACCAGTTAGGCTACCTATACAAAAAAGGGAATTGAACCATCTTGTATCTGTCAAGACCCCAAGAGGACCGACGACGATCGGTTAGGTTTGATGTCACTCCTCCTCATCCTCATTAAGATTAGGTTTATTGGGTTTAATCTCACAGCTGTTGTGTCACGGGACATGCAGGTGACAAAGGGTCAACACTCCGTCGCTGACAATACTAGTAGTACGATCTACGGACTCTCCCGCGAACGACAGATTCGTCAATGCTATTCTGTCGCTCTTTGAATGTAACGGGGTTAAGGTTCGGTTTTTCTTGGCTTGTCATACCATTAACAAAAACGAATATAAGCTAAAAGGACAATGTGTTTCATGCTGAGAGAAAGGACAATCCGATCTGAGGAACTATCGTCGCCCCTTCCCGGATTTTGAAAGTAAATCCCAAAGGACAACACATTCGACTACCGGAACACACAATGCAACTAAAGAACATGGGGAGACTCAATCAAGGCATCTGTCGTTCGGTTTGGGCATAATCCAAGAGCTTGATATGGTCTGGGATTGGACCGTGGGGGAACCGCGGATGGAGGAACCCTACCGCGGGTGGGAGAAACCTAAAAGCCTTCGTCCTTCAGCCTGACGAAGACTTGTCAGAACTAGAGGGGATTCGATTATATGGTGCTTTTTCGTGTCTCCATTGGAAGATCCAGACCTATCGGAGCATCCGTGGGGAGAAGTCGAATGATTTTCGGGCGAAGGGGAAAAACCCGGACCAATTTTCACATTCTCATCGGCAATTCCAGTTGGACGATAAGCATCACGGAGTCCGATCTGGGGTTGATCCCGCTTCAAAACACCACCATTGTTCCGCCACTTTGTTTCCTGTCTACTTGCTGCAACACCCAAAGCAAAGGAAAATATCCATTGTCTTTGGTAGCAGAAAGGACCATTGTTAAAAGGTGAATCAGGTTGTGACTGACGGTTGGTTTGGTTGATTGCCTGATCGGATGATATTCGTTGTTCCTCGGCCAAGCACGGAATCCCCCCCACACGTGACTCCCCGGGAAAGAGAGTCTCCGCAACGACCACAAGAGTCATTCACCAAGCTCCTCCACTTTCTTCGCGTGCGGCCCTTTGCATCGACCTTTCTAGTATATATCTGGGGAAATCGAAGTTCATCCCACATGGGTTACTGAATATTTTCGCTCTAGATATCAGGTTTTGCACCTTTTGTCTTGCTCATTCGCTATTGACCCCCTCATCTCCTACTCCACCGGTCCCGAGTCATCTGCACTCCGCCATCCGTTAGCGGAGGAGTCTACCTCGGTAGTAATCATCCCGACTTTAAACGCCTCCTATCTTCGCAGCTACAAGCGCCCAGTATTGTCAGCTATACACTATACCACGCAGTGATCTGCTCTCTGCTACGTTATTCAGGGATTATAGAAGTGACTCTCTCGGGCCTTCTGGCCTGATTACCTACAGACACCATGTGGAAGCCGTCGGAGAGGCTGATGGAGACCATCAGACATTATGCCAGCTTCCCCGCCACTGGTGTCTCCCTTCGGCAGATGGTCCAATTTGGAGACAGACCTTCGACTGGTATGTCCATCTTTTACCCTTTGAAACCTATTGATGTCATAAGTCATGACCCGTGGACTTTTGTGCTGATCGCGTGACCTCTGTGTTAAAGTAGGGACTCTGTTTCGCGCCTCTCAATTCCTCTCCGAGGAACTCCCAATTCGACTTGCTCACCGTGTCCAGGACCTGGGGGAACTCCCTGATGGACTCAGCGAAATGCCCTCCATCAAGAAGGTCCAGGACTGGTATGCGCAATCATTCGAGGTATGACTCACCGCCCGCTCCATTCCGTAGCCCCCAATGCCCTGAACCCAAGCAAACCTCTGCCGGTATTCTTCATATCTAACATGAAATGAAGGAAATCATCAACCTGCCTCGGCCGACTCTTACCCAGGAAGTGAAATCCCGGCTGCTACGGCCAGGGAGAATTAATGGCGGTGCTTCGAAGATCCTCTCGGAGACCACCCAGAACCCTAGTATCAAGGAAGGGCAATATCGGTCCTCTCCCTCCTCGGCATTGAATCATAATGGAAATGGAAAAGCTGCTGCCGCCGCGGCTCGAAGATATTTTGTACCTTCCGACGACCAAGGCAATTGGCCCCCGGAGTTGAATGACTACAACGAACGCTTCGCAAAGACTCTCGAGCAAATTAAACGGCGACACGACAGCGTTGTAACCACGGTGGCTCAGGGTATCCTGGAATGGAAGCGTAAACGTCAAAGACTACAGATCGACTCGACCGTGCAGTCCTTCCTCGATCGATTTTATATGTCTCGGATAGGTATACGTATGTTAATTGGCCAGCATATCGCTTTGACAGAACAAACGCACGTCCGCCATCCAAACTACGTTGGTATTATCTGTACGAAGACAAATGTTCGTGAAGTCGCCCTCGAAGCCATTGATAACGCCCGATTCGTGTGTGAAGATTACTATGGTCTTTTTGAAGCTCCGAAAGTCCAGCTTGTCTGCAAAGATGACCTGAACTTCATGTACGTCCCCGGCCACCTGTCTCATATGCTGTTCGAAACCCTGAAGAACTCCCTGCGTGCAGTGGTGGAGACCCATGGGGCAGACAAGGAAGCTTTCCCAGTCACCAAAGTCATAATTGCCGAAGGAAAAGAAGATATCACTATCAAGGTATCCGATGAGGGTGGTGGAATACCCCGTTCTGCTATCCCCTTGGTTTGGACGTACATGTACACTACGGTTGAGCAAACACCCAATTTGGATCCCGATTTTGACAAAAGCGACTTCAAAGCCCCTATGGCCGGCTTCGGGTATGGATTGCCTATCAGTCGTTTGTACGCTCGGTACTTTGGTGGGGACTTGAAATTAATCAGCATGGAAGGGTAAGTCTTTTTTCGTTCCTATTTTTATCCAGCTAGATCTAACTAGTTTAGATATGGTACGGATGTCTATCTTCATCTAAATCGACTATCCTCGAGCTCGGAGCCCCTGCAATGACAATTACCAGTCATGAGGGATGGTCGTGTCCGGTTCTCTACTTCCCATAGACTTCATCCTTTCTATTCAGAACCGGATCCACCACCATCTCAAGGATTGACGCCGATGAACATTCGGGCCGTGCGTGCACGCATGCAAAACAGGGAAGTTTCTACGCGTAAGCAAGTTGGCGATGTTGAGAGTCGTCTAAACGCTGAAAGGCCTGGAAACTAAGCCAACCACTTGCTTGCGAACACTAATGGAAGTGCTAATGCTCCCATCGAGGGCACACTTGTGGGCCAATCGCGGCTGACAGCGAGCTTTATTGATTGGGAGCTCTCTGTGAGTTGACCACTTTTGAGTGTTGAAACCATCGCCTTCACTACTCATTGCTTTGTCACACGTGTGTGGATAGACAAAAGCGTATGTTCTCTGTTTTTAGTAAAATTTGGTCAATCTTGCCTGAATGCGGGTACATTTGACGGCCACGACCGACCCTCTGAGAATGATGGAAACAGAGGCGGTTTGGTCTATTGATACCCTTGGGTACCCATCCAGGAGATAAGTTTGGAAAGGTGGCTCTGGTGATCTACACTTACATAGAGGGTAGAGCCTATATTGCTCCTTTTGCTTTTTTCTTATTTTTTTTTTTTCTTTTTTTTTCTCTTTTTGCTTAGCTATGCTCTTGTCTGTCTTTTTTGTATAGTAGATTATTGGGACGATCGGGATATTTTACGGATGGTACGGTCTTAGGGATGTATACATGAGCCATTGTGAATATTCATTTCATTTCATTCATGTTAGTCGTCCAATCAAAGCACTCCACATAGGAGACGTAGAATCCATAGTCGGCATCTCAGGAACTTCTAAGACAGCAGTGTCGAGCGCCAAAGTACGGGGATATATGGAAGAACTCAAGGCGACGAAATCCCATAATCCTCCCTCTCGGCACCACTCCATCTCCTCCTCCTCTCCCTCTCTCGCAACTGGTGCCCGCGACCCGCCGACCCAGAAACAGAGCTAGACGCAGGCGACGCCTTCCCCTTCCCTCTCGTCCTATCGGGCGTCGACAACCGCCCCTTATTCTTCGACGACGAAGCAGGCGACGAGAACGCCGACGACGACCCACCGGCATCGGCGGGCCGTCGCCACCCCGCATCATCAGTTTCGTGGACATCAACAACATTCCGATGCACGACTAGAGGTGGATTACTTGGAGACGGAGAATAATGATTCTGGACAATGAAGAGGTCATTGCGAATAGAAGCTGCTACCTCGGGGTCCTCCGGAGCGATGAGTTTAGATAGGAAGCGACGGCGCGCTTGTGGGAGGGTCTGTTATAGTTAGAATTGAGACAAGACTTTGATATTAAACTTTCTGACAAAAAGAGTCGCGTATAGTTCTCGACGTAGGGTGAAATCCCCCCCAATGATGATAGAACCTCATTGAAAAAGCAAACAAATGACTTGAGACCAATACAAACACGCACCTCTTGAGCAGCCAACGCTTGCATAGTGAGAAGTTCGCGGTCCATCAGGACACAAAGCGCGGCATGTCTTTCCTCGCGGAGACGACTGCGCACTTTCTTCTCCTGTTCGATGGTCGTGTGGTAGGTTGTTAGTGGGCCGCGCAGACGATCGGAGTCATATCCTGGGGGGATTAGTTTGTGTGCTTTTTTAACCGTTCGATGGTGATTGGTAAGTTGTGATAGGCTCCAGATGATAAGATGGATGCTCTCTAAGGATTAATGTAAGGAGATAGGAGGGCTTACTTGGGTCGATCCCACGTGGATGATTTTGGCGTCCGGAGTAATCGACGTTCATGTCTTCGTCTTCGCTTTCGTCGTCGATCACGATTGGATCGCGACTGCCTGGGCCTGGGAGGTTGCGGTTGAACATTTTGGTTGC